GGATGTTAGCTCAGGGCTGATCTTCCTCACAAAAAATAAATAAATAAAAAATGGATCTGACTCAAAGATCTGTAGGGAGCTGTTGAGTTTCATAAAATGCCTTGTAGTACAATCTCCCTAGTGGTGTTTTTCCTGTGAATTTATCTTACAGATTTGGAAAACTGTAGGCTGGAAACTCATATCTGTCTCATTAAGTATGTACGGAGCTTTGTATCTTTATGAGAGGCTGACCTGGACCACCCGTGCCAAGGAGAGAGCCTTTAAACAGCAGTTTGTGAACTATGCAACTGAGAAACTGCAGATGATTGTCAGCTTCACGAGTGCAAACTGCAGCCATCAAGTACAGCAGTAAGTTGACTCAGCTTTGTTTTTTTCAAAAAAAGCTTTATTAAAGTATGACATACATGCAGAAAATGCACACATACGCGTACAGCTCAAAGAATTATCACAATATGAACACATTTTGTAATTACCACCAAGATGGAGAAATAGAGTGATACCAACAAGTAGGCTCAAAATGTATGATGGTGGAGGTAACTTATTTTTACTGACAGCCCAGATTTATAAGTTCAAAGGCATAACTTTTTAGAAGTCAAGAGAATTTTATTACTGTAATAAATATCTGGGTCCACTCAGTTTCTTTTTTTATGTATCTTAAATATTTGTTTCATTGATTTAGTAAAAATATATAGAATTCTGGTTAAGTCAATGCATAATATTTTGTCTTTGGATGCTACTGAATGCAAAAAAGTTCTCTGAGCTAAAGGTGATTGCAATTTAATGAAAGAAATAACATGTACATAATTATAATAAAAGGTGAAAAGTGATAAGTAATATGAGAGCCTCTTTATGTGAGCCTCTAGAATCTTATAATCATGAAGGATAGTGAATCAATAAAAGTTTCCTAGAGGAGGGCTAGCCTAATGAGATTTGAATGTGCAGAGTAGGAAGATCTAAGCAAAGAAAACTGCCCAAACCAAAGGCAAGAGGGTAGGGAGAAAAGGAATGTGTTCAGAAATACGAGGGGAAAATTTCAGTGTGGCAGATGTGTTTGTAAGGGGGGTACATTCGAGTATAAACCTAACACTAGGACAGGGGTTTGGGTAATTAGGAATCCTGGGAATGATATTATTAACATTTAGCTCCAGAACAAATAATTTTGCAGTGGTGTGGTGTATAGAATGGTTCAGACTAAGGAGTCAAGAATTACGTGGAGATTAAACTGTTTCAGACACAAGATCAAAGCCTGTACTAACATAGTTAAAGCTGTAGAGAATGAAAATAATGAGGGCACAGATTTAAGACCACTGAATTAGTTCATTCCTTCATTCATGTATTTACCAAATATTTATTGAGCTCCTATTTTATATAATAGTTTTAATTTATTTATATTAAGGAAGATCTTTAATGATGATACCTAGACCTCCAAAAGAATCAGCTGAGGTTCACATATGTAAAAACAAAGTTAATGAAGCTTTCCATTCATTTGATCATCAGACATTTATTAATTGCCAACCATGTAACAATGACTATGCTAGAGGTTATAGGAAATAAAAAGTAAAAGATAGTTTGATTCTCTTTTGTAGAGGACTTTACACTCAAATGGAGGCAACCTCAAATAATTACTCAGTTAAAATAATACTAGCTAATATTAATAAAATATTAAAATAATGAAAGATGCTTCATTTGTCTAATATTGGTATTTGGTATGATGGGGAGAGAATGGAAAAGAAAAAGACCATGGGAGGGGCCAGCCCCATGGCGTAGCAGTTAAGTGCGGGCATTCTGCTGCTGGTGGCCCGGGTTCGGATCCTGGGCGCGCACCGACACACCGCTTGTTCAGGCCGTGCTGTGGCGGCGTCCCATATAAAGTGGAGGAAGATGGGCACAGATGTTAGCCCCGGGCCAGTCTTCCTCAGCAAGAAAAGAGGAGGATTGGCATGGATGTTAGCTCAGGGCTGCTCTTCCTCACAAAAAAAAAAAAAGAGAAAGACCATGGGAAAGATGAAGACGTACAGAATAGTTGCAGAGAAAAACGAGTAAGTCAGTTAATCATATTCCTGAGGTACACACCTACTAGGCATGCTCCCAGTTACAAAAATATGAAATTAATGTTTGCCAATGCTAACGTATTAGCTAGCACACAAATTAAATACAACTTTTTGGTTCTAGGAACGTTGTTAAATGTTGCTATGATTTAAAGTATTTTTGCTAAGTCAAAGAAGTTTATGAAATTTTCTTTCCTGTTCTCAGTAATTTCTTATTTTTTATAGGCAGGGGACAAGAGAGTAAGGCTTATTGTGCTTCTGTAGAAATATAGCCATCTTTTGCCTTTTTGTAGCTTGTTCATATTCACGACTATATAGCAGAGGTAATAGTGCCTGTTGAGCATTTGTCTTGAGGCCTGATGAAATTAAGCTTGCAGTCATGAAGCTTACAAGCGCCATACCCTCCCTCATACCATTCTTAGCAGTGTTCTTTGATACCTTATGTTTTAGGTGTTTTTTAAACGTGTGATCTCCTTTTTATATAAGCTTTAAATTAAAGCTTATTCATTTGAAAAGGCATTCATGACTGCTGATAAATTTGTTTTTTATTTTAAGGGAAATGGCTACCACTTTTGCTCGCCTGTGCCAACAAGTTGATGTTACACAAAGACATCTGGAAGAAGAAATTTCTAGATTATCCAAAGAAATAGATCAATTGGAGAAAATACAAAACAATTCAAAGCTCTTAAGGTATTTGCATCTTTTTTCTCAATAATATGAATATTTATTGGTCTCATTACTAAAATATAATTATGTAAAACCACTAGTGAATTCGTAGTAAAAGTTTGAGCTTTCTGCGTTGGTTTAGATTATAATTTTCCATATATAATTCCATATGTTTTGCAATTTCAAGTAAAGCTAATTTCAACAGAAAAAAAAAAAATCTGAGTGAAAAGAAATTGTTTTGACCTAAACTTAAAATTCTCTGTTAAGCTATATTAGTCCCTTTTCAGAGCAGAAGTTTATAATTAAAAGTGTGAGTTTTTAGTCCTATATATCCAAGACCCATAACCTCCATTCTCACTGGGGACTATTGGGGATAAATTTGAAGCAACAAAAGTAAACAAGATATCCTAAAATAATGTGGGATTCTGCTTTAATATGATTTATCATGGATTCTTTGGGGTCTAAATAAATTTTGCTTTGGGGGACAAGACCAGAAGTGTCACCATGAGGTCTGTACTTCTTGGCAGTTCTTAACTTTCAGCTTTATTACCCATTAGCTGCCTCACGTACAAGTGTGGGAAAATCATTAAGCATCATTTAATCTCTGCTGCTACTTACCAGGGCACGTGCTGCATACAATTGCCCACATAAGAGCAGCTTGCAATGCCTGCAAATTGGAGAGGCTGTTCTTGTGACCGGAGTTTTGGGTCATAATATTTAAAACACCTGTGGTAGTGTCTGTCCGTGGTGTCTTAATCTGATCAGCAGTCATGTTCTCATTGCACCTCAGTTTCAGAATCTTTGGAAAAGATGACTGCTTGTCACTTAGACCCCAGTCTCCTTTCACACACACAAACACACCCAAGTGACTTGCATGTATTCCACTGCTCCTGTGTTAAATTAGATCATTGCAAAGATAGCCTTTCAAATTTGGTGAAACTATATCCAGTAGAATTTTTTTTTTTACTTAGGAAAGTTTTTAAATAGCGTTTCATCTTGTAAAACATAAATGATAAAATAGATTATTGGTACTTATGTAGCTTTCTGATTTTGGCAGGACTGACTTGAATAAGTATAAATAGTTTTGATCTCCTAATTAATCCTTTTTTCTAACAGGAAAATTTAAAATAACAAATACCATAGTATTTGGAATCTCCATTGTTACTAGATTAGGCTCAGCCATTCAGATAGAATTTAACATACCTAATGCTTCAGGAGAGTGGCCTAAAGAAATATACAGTGGAGTTCCTATGTACATTTAACTTTTATGACCTCGACCTTATGCACTCAGCAACAAAACCAAACAAGACCAAGAAAAAAAAAAGAGAGAGACGCTCATTCAAGTATGTGTGTGTGTGCCCTGGCATAGTGTGAGAATGGAGACACAAATCGGTGTTCCTCTGTCAGTTTTAGTCCCAGTTTTCCTCTCTTACAGGCATTAGGCTGTATCAAGTACAATTCTAGTATTTAAAAAAAAAATTTTGGTATACCATGGTCCCTTGACATCTGCCAGCTACTTGACGTATACATAAAACTACTTATTCACTACTTGATGCTTAACTTAGGGAATTCGAGGACAGTTATGACTGTACCTGATGTAGGGTATAACTTCTTTGTAAGGTGATGTGACTCCACTGTCTCTTATGCTTCCCATTCTTATTAAAGTTTTTTTCTTTTATCTCAGTATACCTTTTTTTAAGTCCTGGACATTGGATTCTGTGTTTACTGCAAAGCTATAGTAGTATATGTAATACTCTAAAAGAGTTGATAATAGTTTAGTCTGAGTTCAGATAAATGGAGCAGCAGCTGGCTAGTGATTTTTTTAAGATTGGATGGAATGCATTTTTTTCCTCATTGACATTTATGATAATTAGATTGGTGTTTTATTCATTTTTTAAAATTAGAAATAAAGCTGTTCAACTTGAAAATGAGCTGGAGAATTTTACTAAGCAGTTTCTACATTCAAGCAATGAAGAAGAATCTTAACAATAGAGATTACTTTGGTGATCACCGTAGGAGAAAATGGAACTTGGAAGATTGGGACAGTTGTTATTTTTATGAAATTACTTTAAACATGAATTATACTAACTGCATCTAAATAGCAAATCCTTGTGTAGATTCTGGTAATGATCTATCTCAGGGTGTTTGCATTTCTGAAGAGTGTTATGATGTCTCTGTAGTTTTAATTTTGGGTAAAGAAAAGGCTCAACTGTTTGATGTGTTAAAATGATGAATTAATTAAAAGCAACAGACCAACTATGTGACCCCTGAGGGGTGGGGCCTTGCTCTTAATTAGGGCTCTCTCTGTTTTTGATTCTGAAAAACTCTGCTTCCTGGCATCCAGGAGTTAGAGAAGGCTCCTTTCATCTTCTTTCTCAAAACTAATTTTTGATGCCTACTCTAATGGGAATAGTCACCTTTTTTGTTTTATAAACTGCATTGCTCTAACCACCAAGAAGGAGTGTGAAATGTTCTTGAGTATATTATTTATGCAAGTTACAATCACTTTTGCCATCCTGACAGGTATGTAAACCACTAATAAATATGCTGTTTTTACTCCCTCTTTTATCCCCATTAAAACTGATATAAAACAGTTATAAAGGTTTATTATAGTTTCTTATAAAAGTTACCTGGGTCCGGTTTCCTGGTCTGTTTCTAAAGAAACATTTTCAGCTTCAATTATGATTACAGTAAGGAAAACTTTCTATCTCAGTTTTAGGAGTAAAGTTTGAAGTGATAAAAATAGCCAAAGATATGGGAGGTCTGAATTTTGGGTGGTTACAGTCATGTACAAATGCTGTTCTTCAGAAGATATTTGCCAAGGATAGTGCTGGGTTGTTCCCCCAGGCTGGCTTTTACTTTTATTTAATTGTATGAATTTGTCAGGGCGTGGTTAAAAATTATTACTGCATTTTTTACCTTAATGAAATGTTTATGGGTTCAAGTATTGTGTCTGTTTCTGTGTTAAAAACGAATTGAAACTTATATGGAAACCTAAAAAAATGACATCCTAGGGCTTTGCTACACACAAAATGCAGTCTCGAGGACCACCAAATCAGCATCGCCTGGATGCCTGTTAGAAACACACGATCCTGGAAGACAGTGCATTTGGCCCAGTATAGTTTATGCTGCTTTTCCATGGGAGGGAGAACATTTCAGGCTCTCTTCTTAATACTCAATACTTCCTTTTCTGTGCCTTTAAGGCCCCTGGATGCTATTCAGTCTTTTCACAGCAGGTGCAATACTATTTTTCATATTGTAAGGAGAAAATAACATTATTTAGGCTATAGAAGCCTTTTAAAAATATTTTTTATGCAAATCAGATACTAGGGTGCAGTATTCAAATCCAAATAATTATTAGTTTATAGCTTTTGTTGTTGCTTTATAACCAAAAAATGGTACAAACCACCACCAAGTGGGATTAGGTAACAATTGCACCATGAAAAACTGATGTCTGAGACGGGGTACCACTGATTTAGTTACAAGTTCAAGGCCTTAATCTTTAGACGCAAGTACTTGAACTTTTGAAATATCATAGTGGTATCCTGTCACCTCATTAGTACAGTACAGTGGTTCTCAAAGTTTGGTCCCTGGATCAACAGCATCACTTATCAACTTGTAAGAAATGCACATTCTTGGGTCTCACCCCAGACCTACTGAATCAAATACGGTGTTTGGTAACCAGCAATCTCTGTTTTAACAAGCCCTCCAGATGATCCTGATGCATGCTCAAGTTTGGGAACTACTGGAATAGTGGTTCTGATACAAGTTTATAGTAGATTTTCCATTGCTAGTTTGAATGCAGTTCCCCTGATCAAGTTTGAAAATGTATGAATGTTGGAAATGGAACAATAAAATAATGAAACCCAACCTTTATGCCTGGGGATAAGTGCACCTATGGCCAAGTCCATGAATTATGCAGAAATTATGTAATTTACAGCTATGTAGTTCAAAATTATTGCACATATACTTGATTGTTTACTATGTATGTTTGCAGGATTATTTATAAACTTTGTATAACCTTAAACTTTTTAAACTAAACTTCATTTTTTAATAAGTAAGTACGCAAGCTCCAAGGTGAAAATAAAACTTCTTTGCCTGATAGTTGATAAATGTAGCATTTATACTGGCATTTAGTGAGTTGCAATCTTTCATTCTTAATTAATTAATTTTTACAGTAGGCATATAAGCTCACTTGGGTAGACTGGCTCATCTTTTGATTGCCAAGTACTGAAAGGGTCCCTCATTCATCCTCCCCCAAGCTTGTGGTGATGAAATGAAAGTAGTAAAAACCTTTTATCAATACCATCATTTGAAAATTACACAAAAGGAAATGAAATTATCCTAATGGAGCGCCAGGGAAAGAATGACTTAATTTTGCTTTTTAAGGAAAATCTGTGGCCTTTTTTAATAGTAAGCCAACACTTATGGTACCACAGGATAGGTCAGTGGCACGCCAACCTCTTCATTGCTTCTGGCAGCAGTCTTCATTTTTTCATGGAGAAAATAATTAATTACCAATGTTTAGATAAAGGAATTAGGGCTGAGCATGAAATACTGGGCTCGGAGTTTGCTTCTGGGACTTAAATCGACTGATTTAAAACGTGCTACATGGGGGGCCGGCCCAGAGGCGCAAGTGGTTAAGTAAGTAAGTGCGCGTGCTCCACTGCAGCGGCCCGGGGTTCGCCGTATCAGATCCCGGGCGCGCACCGACACACTGCTTGGCAAGCCCTGCTGTGGTGGCGTCCCATATAAAGTGGAGGAAGATGGGCACGGATGTTAGCCCACGGCCAGTCTTCCTCAGCAAAAAAAAAAAAGGAGGATTGGCAGATGTTAGCACAGGGCTGATCGCCTCACAAAAAAAATAAAAACATGCTACATGAAATCTGGTTAAAAGCAGTTTATTGATTACAATATCAATTCACAGCAACATTATTTCACAGAGCAACTGTACAAATAAAGGAATGAGTCACTGTGCAAGAGAGATCCAAGAGTACTTTTACATCATGGTACAAGTCCATAGTCGGTTTAGTTTAAAGCTTTTATAAGAGCTTTAATCTGGTACGTTCACCCTTCCCATAGTCAGACTACTGACATGCAGAGTCAATTGGCCACAAGTGTGGAGAAACGGTTCTAGGTGAAGAAACACATTTTAATCAAGTTTAAAAAACCACTTAGATGTGGATGCCCTTGGGTAAGAATATGCAAATACAAGTGTTCAGATGCTTCTTTGAAAAGAGAAAACAATAGGATAGAGCACCATTGTGTAAAAGACAGAAAAGGCTTGAAATATCTACCAAGTATATCACTGAAGTTCTATTAATTAAAACATACTGTATGATGTAAGATTTTGTCGGGCACATTTAACACTAGTTGAAACACTAACCAGTTTTTTCATGATGCTGCATTATCATAACTTTTACAGGATCAGTAATTGGATTTAAGAAATAAAGACTTAGGAAATTTTATCAACATGCAAACAAATTTGCTAAATACAAGGTATACCATCAATCTGATTAATTACTTTTTAAAACAGTGCTAGCTTACACATTCCAATACAGACCATTTTAATGAGTACCTATTGTAACCAATATTTTTAAATACAACCCTGAATTTTAAGGCAACTCAAAATGAACAATGGGAGAAAAACTAGTAAATATGAAGTGTCCTTCACATTCTACTTGATCTAATGTAAAAATACCAATTTTATTCATTGTGCTATCCTTTCTCACAAGAAAGATGGTCTAACTTGTGGGTGTTTTAAAAATTCTAACAAGCAGTAAGAAATAGTTTTAAATTTCCACAAAGGCAAAAGGGAAATTAGAAGCTGAAATCGTAATTTAAAAAAAAAACTTTTTTAAGCCTGACTCACACCCTAAAGCTTCCAGAAAGAACATCTTCATTATTAAAATGATGAAAGGCCCATTTGGGAGATTGTTTAATCAGTTTCCATAAGTTTAAACACATCAAAAAATAAGCCATGAGGCTGGCCCAGTGGCGCAGCAGTTAAGTGCACGCGCTCTGCTGCAGTGGCCCGGGGTTCGCAAGTTCAGATCCCGGGTGTGCACCAACGCACGGCTTGTGAAGCCATGCTGTGGCGGCGTCCCATATAAAGTAGAGGAAGACGGGCACGCATGTTAGCCCAGGGCCAGTCTTCCTCAGCAAAAAAAAAAAGAGGAGGATTGGCAACAGATGTTAGCTCAGGGCTAATCTTCCTCACCAAAAAAAAAAACAAAAACTACAAGTATTTAGTTGTGTTATAATTTAACACGTGAGACATTCACCAGTAATCAAGGCATAAATTTCCCTGAAATTTTCCACTTTTAAAACAGTCTTAATTTATTAGCAATAATAAAAATTTCATCTTGTCACCTGGAGAAGTCAAGATCCTTTTTCTCTTTTAATAGGTTAACTTTAAAATTGCTTAACATATTCCAGAAGCAGCTACATCCATTATGTCTAGGAGAGAAGTTTACTATCATCATGCAGTATTAATCAGTTCAGCTGAGTCTAAATTGAAATAAGGAGAATTGCCTACTAGGCTCTCTTGCAGTTGAAATATTAAGCCTAAGTCTTTGCCTCTACAAAGATGGAAGTCAATATGGTGTGTGTAACCGTGGAATCACAACTATAAAAAATCTGAACTAGGGAGGGACTTGAGATATTTAATCTAAATCTCTAATAGTATAACTGCCAAAAACGAGGCCTGTCCATCAAAGTGGAGATGCCCTTGCCAACAGCAAAGAGTACTTTCTTGGGCAAGTTTTTGGGATGATTTGCTGAACGACATGGCAATCACTATCACTTTGTTTTAGAAAAGAATACGCCTTTAAAACATTCTTGCCAGATCTCAAAAAACTTTATGAAGTGACTGAAGAGTCTACAAATAAACCTGTTGAGGCACATTATGTTTAAGTGTTGCTTACCAAGTAAAAAGAAAAATTAATAGGCACCAGGGCTGGCCCCGTGGCTTGGTGGTTAAGTGAGCGCGCTCCAGTGCTGGCGACCCGGGTTCGGATCCCGGGCTCGCACCGACGTGCTGCTTCTCCGGCCATGCTGAGACCGCGTCCCACATACAGCAACTAGAAGGATGTGCAGCTATGACATACAACTATCTACTGGGGCTTTGGGGGAAAAATAAATAAATAAAATCTTTAAAAAAAATTAATAGGCACCAGATAACTGCAATATTCTTGATGATGCAAATTCCTTAAAACTACATTTGGCCATATTTTTAGTCTTGAAAAACTAAGATTCAAACTGTACAGTGCTTCTACAAATTATCTATTCTTATGGATGTCAGGAAGTCTTATGCACAACAATGAAATAGACCATCAGCTGAACTCAAACTGCAAGTAGCAACTGGAACCCATATCACTAGAAGGCAAAGGTCTAACTAGTAAGTTAATTAATGTGGTAATGAGATGACCATTTGGTCATATGTATAATAAGCCACAATAGTGGTTAATTTTCAGTTGCCTAGTACATATTTAATTATAGGAATTGCTTTTAAACTAGCCACAAAAATTTATATAACATTAAAATAAATCATTTTTATCAACATGTTTAAGACCATAGAATTCTTGTCAGTGTGCCTCTCCGACTAAAGTATTTTGTTACTAGAATAACTTTCAAAGTAGAGGAGATACTCTCTTTATATATATATATATTTTTATATATATATATATATAAGGCTATTTTGCACATGGCAGCAGTGCTTTCTCGAACAGGATTTTGGAATGAATGACTGAACTACATGGCAAACCCTCACCTCCTCCCTTTTTTGGGAAATGAATATGTTCTTTTAAAATATTCTTGCCTTATCTCAAAGAGCTGCTCTTTATGAAGTGATATAAATAGTCCACAAACATTAACAGCAAAAAGTCCATAGAAATCTTATAATAATGTGTATATAAATATACATTCATGCTTGCCATCTACAATAGTCTGGTTTTTTGGTCCTATATCTTAATCTTCCTTTATCCATTTTATTCTCTACTTTTAATATCAACTGATCTCAAACAAAACTGACACCGACTTTATTACAGTTAGTTGATGCACTTATTAGCACATTCACAATATAAAAATGAAAATTTACAAGTAAAATTTGGGAGTATTTAGGTTAGGGTTATAGGTGATCAAAAGTTAACAGAGACCATCTCAACAGTAACAGACAGTTTACTACGTTACAAAACACAATACACTTCTCTATTCACCATCAAGCAAGACTAACAATCTTCTATTTGTCAATCATTTAGATTTATTTGTAGGAGAAAATTCAAGGGGAAAAGTATGTTTGTTTAAATTCAGGGGGGCCCTCCTAGTGATAGTCACATTATCATACCATTGACAAACACAAGAACTGCTTAACGATTTTCCTTTAAGAACTGCTCTTGCAATTTTTCTTTTGGCTTTCAAGTGGGGTCACTTGGGTCTAGGCATCCTTGGAAGCAAAACCACTTAGAAACCAGTATCTTATGCTAAGGGAAGAAATATTACGGAAGAGCAAAAAGCTTGAATGTTTCCTTTTTTAAACTTTGAAGGAGTTTACATCAGTTCAGATTTTATATTATGTGAACATAAATTCATAAATCCACCTTGTTACAATTATAACTAATCAGGTCTAGTAAATGGTTAGATTTTACACTTCTTTCATAAACGTAACACCGTCACATTTCCTATCTAGATGCATACTGACGGGGAACACTGGGAAAAATTCTTTAGACACAAGGACCATCCAAATGTTCTCAATCTCTGAAATAATGAGTGCACTCTACAAACTCAGTGCTAGAATATGAAATCAATAGGAAAGGCCAACTATTTAGAGGGTTACTCAAAGTGTCATTTGATCATAACCAGCTTTTTAAAATGTCGAGAACTGTTTATACGCAATTACTGCTATCTACCCATTATTAATATAATTTTTTCTTATGTATGTCTAAAATTTCAGAGTGAAATCTTTATTCCCTGGCCTTCAGATTATCTCCCCCTCAAAGAACTGAAAAAGAGCATTTATTTAAATTGTTAAGATGGCAAAGGATGCACCAGAAACTAATAACATTCAAAAGGACTCCCCTCAGAGGTACCGAGGCCTGTCAGCATTCTTAAACACTAAGCAACCAGGATCTCTTTTCAACTAAAAAGGAAGGTCAGAATTCAAGGAGACTTGCTTAACATCACACACGCGTATGATATCACTTCCACCTGTTACTGTGCTTGGTTCCTCCATTACAAAGCTCAAAAATGTGACATTTCTTACGCATACAAAGTTAAAAATGTAGTTCTTAAAAAATGCAAACAATCAAACATGATAGAGGCTGCTATAATGTGTATATTCTGTTCTACACAAAGAAAATAAAGAATTAGACTGAGTACAAGCAAAAATTCATCAGGTTAAATCAGCTCGACTGCTCAAATTAACACCCTGGTCCTTTTGATCTCAGCAAGCACCTTTGCCTTGTTTTTTCCACCTTTTTTTGTGTGTTTTGTAGTTTACTGAAAGCTGCTTTTTGTGTATAATAATCTCAATAGAAAAATCTTCACCTGCAAATATAAGGTAGAATTTTTTTCACAGCTATAGGCTGTAGCACTGATTTCTCCAGATACCGACGGAGAAGAGAAACTTCGTATGCATTGTTAATTCCAGATTCTAAGAAAACTGTCCCAAGAGCCTGTTGCTACAGCCATGCCATCATCAGTTACACCTAAACAGCTGACACGGTTGTCATGACCAGCAAGGACACCTGAAAAGCAAAAGTTCAGTAAAAAGTTAGCAGTGGGCAAGTTTTAGAATTAAACTGTATGCATAAAAGATCTAGACGGGTAACTGACAGGTTCCTTCGAGGCGGGGAGACTGCGTGCCAGGGGTAAGCTGGACATGTACTTTGTAAAGCACAATTCTTTGTATTACATGAAGTTTTGACACATGCATCAAATCGTGTTTTTCATTTTTGAAAGATTATAAATAGGCTTTCTCCTATGTAGGAAAACAGATGCAGACTTGTTCTCTACATCTCTAATATGTTCATGATACTCCACATTTTGCCAGTGAGCTATGCTATTTTCAACAAAAACAAAATTTTAAATGTAGCCTTTTACCACAAGAACAACAAAAACATAAGAATGAAGTTGCCTTACATCACCACTTCCCAAAATGCCAACATTATTTACTTTCTTCTGTTAACTGCAAAACATCAGAATGTTTTGGTTATAACTTGCTGAAACTATCAAACTCACCTAGTTTTAGTTTCCTTTATATATTAAAGTTAAACTTATTTGATATTCTGATCACCACAGAGGATAAAATGAAATATTCCCAAATATTTGGGAGGAAAATGAGAAACGTAAACATTTAAAAGAAAAATTAGAATATATCAAGTTCTCAACAAGAGCTTTTTCTTTAATACATTGTGTTTGAGTTGGCATTATCTCTCTATATAATTAAGCGTATCATTTTCACCCAATCTCAGCAACAGAAGTCATCTTGTCTAACTTTTAATATTCTCTGTACTAGCTCCAATAGGGCAATGTTTGGCAATGGGCAAATTTACCAGTATGGGTTGAAATAACAAAAAAATGAACATTGTGGCTAAATTCTCCAAGTCACATTGGAAAGGAGAATGAATCAGCAATTCACGAGTCATGATTCAGTTTTAAGGTGAAAGCATCCAGTTGAGCCAACTTGAAACTAAACAGCTGTAAGGAAAGCAAAACTCAAACTCAAGCATAGGTTAAAAAATATGGAAAACAAACACATTTTTATTTTGTTATGGAACTAATTGATTCAATCTGGGCAAAACACCTAATACCTTAAAAAAGTAATTGGCTTTGGACAACAGAATATCTCCAAAAATCTACCTGCAGAATGCAAAACTGTGAACTTTTCTGCAGTCTCTTAAGCGAGGCTGTAGAAGGTTATTCCTGGGAATGGTGATATTGCCTCTACTCCCTGGGAAGCTTGAACAACTGTAAAGGAGCTGGAAAGGGTAAGACACAAACCCACAAGGACAGTGAGGCTATGAGAGCAGCAGTGGCGACATCATTTCCTCAGCTGGATGGTGGTACCTGTGATAGTGGACCCCAAAATGCTGAGTCCAAAGCAAATGGTCTGGGAAGCCAAGAAACAAAATTACACTGCAGAACCTCCAAAAGGGTCAGATACGACTGGATACAGAGATACAGGTATCCTTGGAACCAGGCAGGGGCAAAGATGGGGTAAACCGAGACTGCACTAGCAAGTGGTCAGGAATCAGACTCCCCAGGTCGCCTCCATCACTCTACAGAGTCAGGTGACTGATGGTCCTGCACCAGGCAGAAGACGAGAGACTGACTTGCTAGAGAGAGTAAGAGAAGGTCTCGTAACCAGAAGAAAATAGGCACAGTCGAGATGGGTGAAATGCGCTGAAAAGGGAGAATGCAGGAAGTTTACTTGCTGCTTTGCCCCCAGCTTTCCTCCTGAAATCAGCCCCCAAACTGGCAGCCAGCTTATACATTCCAAGTAGAAAAGTGGAAAATGCCTCTCAGAGAACATGGCTAACCCAAGGGAAAAAAGGCCGTAGGATATATCAGAGGTCCCCAAAGGAAAGCCTGGCCGGATCGTCCTTCAGCGAGGCCCCCAGTCAACACACCCCAACTTTGTGCAGAGGGCTTTCCAACAGTTCAGCGCCTCACTCTTGAGTACGAATAAGAAACTAAAATCACCAGACTTTTAAGGAAATATTCTAAAAATAAGGACAGGGGACAAAAAAAGTGAAGAAAGAGGGGAAAAAAAGCAACTTGGAAAACACAAAAGATAATGCTTGAACAAGAAAACTTCAAAAAAAGGCTCTCATTAATAACATCAGAGAAACAGAAGACTTTATTCATGAGAAAAAGAATGGGTGCCTTAAAAAAAATACCCTCAGGGCCCTCTGGGCACACCGACGCACCGCCTGTCAGGCCACGCTGTGGCCACGGCCCGTATAAAGTGGAGGAAGATGGGCACGGATGTTAGCCCAGGGCCAGTCTTCCTTAGCAAAAAAGAGGAAGATTGGCAGATGTTAGCTCAGGGCTGATCTT